CGCTACAGCAGGGCCAGGCTGAGCAGGGAGAAGCAAGGAGGGTGGCAAGGCGGAGCTGCGCTACAGCACGGAGAAGGAAGGAGGGTGGCCACGAGGTCGCAGGAACTTGGGTTTGTAACAGGGAGGAAGGAGGGTTGAGAGGAGGTGGCGGGGACTCGAGGTGCACCATGCTGTAATCCACCGTGAGGATCGACCCAGCGACGTAGCAAGCAGAAAGGAGCACCAAGCTGCGACGTGGACTCGTGGAGCTGCACCAGCCCCAGGTCAGTCTCTCTCTCTCTCTCTCTCTCTCTCTCTTTCCCTCCCTCTCTCTCTCTCTTTCTTTCTCTCTCTTTTCGAATGTATGTATCTGATTATCAGGGTCAGATACATTTATAGTGGTGGTTCCAGCCTCCAGGTGCTCATGAAAACTGTGTTTCCCGTGAAATTCGGTAAAGGCTGCTTCTGTTCTTGAATACATCTGATAAGAGAGAGAGAGGGAGTTCTTCCATCGATAGGATGAGCAAAATCGGTAACTGTGTTTCCCGTGAAATTCGGTAAAGGCTGCTTCACGATTTTTTTTTAATTTTTTTTCTTAATTCTACCATTTCTCGATTAATATGTCATGTGTGTGTGTGTGTGTGTGTGTGTGTGTGTGTGTGTGTGAGAGAGAGAGAGAGAGAGAGAGAGAGAGAGAGAGAGAGAGAGAGAGAGAGTGAGAGAGAAAGAGAGAGAGAGAGAGTGAGAGAGAGAGAGAGAGAGAGAAATTTTTCAAACGAGTGTTGCCATATTTCTGCGCTAGATTCAGCGCACAAATATGGCAAAATTCATTTAGAAAAGGCCTCTGTGTTCTTTTCCGAATGAATATTGCCATATTTCTGCGCTGGATTCAGCGCAGAAATCTGGCCCGATTCATTCAAAACAGGTCTTTGCTCTCTCTCTCTCTCTCTGGGTGTGTGCGGACATTGCTCCCCCCGCCATGTCGTTGCCCTGCCTTGGTCATCTGAACGAACCTGTGGGACATTCCATCTCGAGTTTCACGATTTTTTTTATTTTTTTTCCTTAATTTTACCATTTTGCGATTAATGTGTCATGTGTGTGTGTGTGTGTGTGTGTGTGTGTGTGTGTGTGTGTGTGTGAGAGAGAGAGAGAGAGAGAGAGAGAGAGAGAGATTTTTCGAATGAATGTTGCCGTATTTCTGCGCTAGATTCACCGCACAAATATGACAAAATTCATTCAGAAAAGGCCTCTGCGCTAGATTCTGCAAGATATTGCCACTAGTGTTGACAACGCATCTCATGTGCTCGAGGATGAGGTCGTGAAAGAGCGTCCAACAAAAAGAAGACGGGGAAGACCGGGGATGTGCAGCTCTGACGAGGAGGATGAAGAAGCGCCACGAAGGGATGAATCAATGAAGATGAGCATACTTGAGAGGATTCAGAAAGAGTTCGAATATTATTTTACGTTGAAGTTGACAAAGGAGGAGAAACGCACTTTCAACCTCCTTCCATGGTGGAAAGCGAAAGGGACTTGCGTCCTCCTTTGCCTATTATGGCGCGGGCTGCTCGCACAGTTTTATGTGTGCCTGCATCAAGCTCGAAGAGCGAGTGCAATTTTTCTGATGCGGGGAACACATTGACGAAGAAAAGGAACTTGCTCAGTGGTTCGACGGTCAACGACATTTTGTTTGTTAGATCAAACAATGACTTGCATAGTTCATAAAAGTAAATGGACTTGAAAAACGACTTTGAGGGATGTGATTCTTTCGAGATTCGTTCTCAAGCTTCTATAAGTTATTGACATTGTGTTGCTTGTGTTGATATCTTTCTTTGCAGTTAATTTTAGCATTGATAACCAATTGTTTAGCAGTTGCATTTTAAATGTCTGACTTGTTTTATTTTGTGATGCCACGATGTTATATCATGTTGTGTGTAAATATCAGGTCGGGCATGGGCGGATAAGGATGAAAAAAAATCATGTTTCGGGTCTGGGCGGGTAATGATTTTCTTGCGGGTGCGGTTGGGTCCGGGCGAAGTTTTTTTACGGGTGTCGGGCGGGTCGGGCACGGGTGCAAATTTTCGAAAAAGAACTGGGGTGGGCTGGGTCATCTTTGAACCTTTTTTTTTTTTTTTTTTTACGGGCTAGCAGTATGTGAAAATTTTTGGGCGGGTTGGGTGAAGTGCCAATCCAAAAAAAAAATGCTCATCTCTGGTCATCGGCTTGCTGTTCCTTGAGAAGGCAGGGATTAAATGATTGTGTGTCCCTAATAGCGAGTCTTTGCGTAGTTTGTTTTTAGGAGAGTGCCATGATGCCACCGGCCATTTTGGGTACAAGAAGACTGCATCTAATCTGCTGCAGCGGTTCTGGTGGCCCACGATGATGCGAGATGCCCAACTGTATGTGGAGACTTGTCAGGTCTGTCAAAGGGACAAGCCCCGTACACAGGCTCCTCTTGGGCTATATTGAAGCCCCTTCCGATTTTGGAACGGCCTGGTGAGAGTCTGTCCATGGACTTCATGGATACTCTGATCACCAGCAAGAGTGGGATGCGACACATCTTCGTCATCGTGGATAGATTTAGTAAGTATGCTAGGTTAGTAGCAATGCCGGAAACAACAAGGACGGAGTATGTGATCAGAATGTTCAAGGAGAACTGGGTTAGGGACTTTGGGTTACCGAAGTCTATTATTAGTGACAGGGATGTCCGATTTACCAGCGAACTGTGGAAGGCCGCTGCTGCAGAGCAGGGAACCCAGTTGCAAATGACTTCTGGGAATCATCCAGAGGTCAACGGCCAGGCCGAGCAACTGAACCGCGTTGTACAACACCTGTTGAGGCATTACATCAAGCCCAACCAGGTGGACTGGGATGAGAAGCTTGCACTCATCGCCAGTCTGTATAACAATGCGATACACAGTGCCACAGGGGTGAGCCCGAACAGTTTGCTACTGACTTTCAAACCTAGACTACCCTTAGATTTTCTCCTTCCTAAGAATCAGTCGACTGCTGCACCAGGTACGTTAGAGTTTGCTTACCTCTATGAACAAAAGATGCATCAGGCTGTAGAACAGATGCAAAAGGCACAGGCGGCTATGATAGAATCTGCGAACAAACACCGCCGTGAGTCTTCATTTCAGGTTGGGGACAGAGTCTGGGTTAAGTCCTCAGAACTGGGACAGGAGCACGGGATCTCCCGCAAGCTCATGCCACAATACTTTGGACCTTGGGAAGTTTTAGACATCGTTGGGACAGATCCGGATGGGCCATCTTATGTTATCCGGATCCCTGGTCATCTTCGAACTTACCCTGTCTTTCACGCCTCCAAGCTTGCACCTTTCAAGGAAACAAATGAGTTTCCTTCTCGTCGCTCAATGCTGCCCTCAACCATGGATGGAGAAGTGGACATCGATGACGTTGTGGATCACAGGGAGCTGCCAGCTCAGAGACCTGCAGGAAGGGGACGTCCTCCGGAACCGAACTGAAGCTGCAGTACCGCGTTCGGTTCAGACATCATACTGATCCCAAGGAGGACCATTGGTTCAAGAGGGAAGAACTCATGCAGACCGCTCCTCAAGTTGTAGCCCATTATGAGAAATCTCTGCAGAAGGGAAAGCGCCCTATGATTGAAGACTGAGCTTCTCAGAGGACTGT